TAGCTGCAGATTTTATTGCTCTTCCTCTTACTACTCTTTTTAACCTCTCCCTCAGCACAAATGCAATTCCAAAAGTATGGAAGTCAGCTTATGTCTTGCCTTTGCTAAAAGGAGGGGAGGCAACTATTTCAAATAACTATAGGCCAATCTCTAAATTGTCAGTTCTGGCGAAGGTGCTCGAACGCCTAGTGAGTGAACAGGTAAAGGAGTTTTTATGTAAGAATAATATCCTGTCTAAACATCAGTCAGGCTTCAGAAAGCAACACAGCACCATCACTGCCACAATGAAAGTGGTGAATGACATTACGAGTATTTTAGACAATAAGCAGAGTTGTGCAGCTCTATTTATTGACCTTTCCAAAGCGTTTGATACCGTCGATCATCACATCTTAAAGCAGAGGCTACTCAGTATCGGCATATCCAGCCATGCAGTGGGTTGGTTTGTGAACTACCTCTCTGAAAGGTCCCAATGTGTTCACTTTGATGGGCTGTCTTCTGAGTGGTTAAACATTGCTAATGGTGTTCCTCAAGGTTCTGTTTTAGGTCCACTTTTATTCTCCATATATATCAACAGTTTAGGTGAAAATGTGGATGAAGCTACTTTACATTTGTATGCGGATGATACCGTGATGTACTGTGCAGGTCCCTCCATTAAGGAGGCTGGTGTTAAATTACAGACTGTTTTTAACATTACTCAGACTCAGCTTGCTGAACTTAAGCTTATTTTAAATGTTGATAAAACCAAGGTAATGCTCTTTTCTAAAGCTAAAAAGACACCAGAGCCTGTTTTGGATATTGTAAGCAAGGACAAGTACTCAAAGTGGTTACATGTTATAAATACCTTGGTATCTGGCTTGATGATTGTCTTACTTTTAAACTTCAGGTCATTAATCTGCTTAAAAAGCTGAGGGTTAGTCTAGGTTTCTTTTTCAGAAACAAGTCCTGTTTCTCTTTTGAAGCCAGGAAAAGGCTAGTCACTGTGACCTTTTGACCTGTGCTGGACTATGGTGATTTGATCTATATGAATGCACCTGCCCATTGCCTGGAAAAGTTAGATGCCGCCTATCACAGTGCCCTGAGATTTGTTACTAACTGTAAAGCACTTACTCATCACTGTACCCTGTATGCCAAGGCAGGTCTGCCTTCACTAACTGTACGGAGGCTCAGTCATTGGTACATGTTCATTTACAAAGCCATGTTGGGTAAACTACCTTTTTATATCTGCTCTCTGATCTCTCGACGAATTGAAAGTACATATTGCCTAAGATCTCATGATGTTGTTTTATTAAATGTGCCAAGTGCTAGGACTGTCTTAGGGAAGAAAGCTTTTAGTTGAGCAGCTCCACTAAATTGGAACAGTCTGCAAACATGTTTAAAACTGAGCACTTTGGTTCCCCTGCATCATTTTAAAACTCAGCTGGGTGACATGCTGTTTGATATTCATGGTACCTGTCTCTGTAAATAGAGTTTGTAAACTGTACCCTGTACATTATGTTGTATTTCGTCCTTATTGTTGTTCTGTTGTTTTTCTGTTACATGTGTAACTAATGTCCTGCAGGTCACCCTTGAAAAAGAGATCTTTTGATCTCAAGGGGCTTCACCTGGTTAAATAAAGGCTACAAACAAACAAACAAACAAACATGAAGAACATTTTCTTTTGAAATGGTTTCAGTCTGCAGCATCTCCTTTATATTAGGGTGTTTGTAAATTAACTGTAATCTTTTCAAAATTGGTAAACAAATGTATCAGTAACAACAACCTGTTCATAACCTCCAGTAGTCCGATTGCGCAGGGTATCAAATCTTGTCCCAAGAACATATTCCACTGGGTCTACCCTTCCCCACTTCTCTGTAAAATATTGCCTTCTCTTACTTTCTGAATTTAATACACCAAAAAGGATTTTCCATTTTTTCAGAACACTGATCGATGTTACACTCTTTTGAGAGGCTCCTGTAAAGATAGACACTTTTTTACCGACTATTTTGCTTGATTATGGATATCATAAACAATCTCTTCCATGGAAATGACCAAAGAATTAATGGTGGTTTGACCTACACCTGCCACTTTAAGTTCAGCTACTGTTGCTGCGCAGCTGTCTACGAAACTCTTATCAAGGTGTGATTCAGAAGGGGTATTGATGGCAAATCATCAAAATGACTTGATGCCAAATCTTCAGCTGTAGAGGGGCCTTCACCAGGATCAGAACAAGGTGTGTGTGTTATATTGAGATGCTTTCTAAACCCGGATAGCCATAAACTTGAGAACATTTAAGGCAAAGTCTTTTACCTGAACAAAGTCCGTGGATTAGCTTCAAGTGTTTTATCAGGGAATTAGAATTTGCCTGGGAGCTTTTGCAAATAAAACACAACATTTCAGTGTTAGCTCAATACCAGCTTCACCAGCAACGCCATGCTGGTATACCAGCTTCACCAGCAACGCCATGCTGGTATACCAGCTTCACCAGCAACACCATGCTGGTCTACCAGCCTTTTGCACCGGTAGACCAGCATAACAACCAGCTTCACCAGCATAGACCAGCATGAAACAGCATAAAAAAGCAAAGACCAGCAAAGACCAGCATGAAATCCATGCTGATTATTTCGCAGATAAACCTAGTAACCCCACCCTTTAAAAAAACTGCTCTTTTGAACGGCTCTTTGAAAGAAACGGAGCCACAAGATGCGGCTCCCTTCAAAGAGCCATAATTCCCATCACTACGAGAGACTTGTAATGGCAGCAGAAGTGAAACTTAAGGAACATGAGTAGGCGTGGTCATGGTTTAACTCCAATATAATTGTCCAGAATTGTCTCTGTATTTTTGATCGCACTCTAGAAGCTATGAGTAATAAATACACTCCAAAATGATTAAATATCACTATTTCAGAGCAAAATAGTAATTACTCTGGAAAAAATACTCACCAATATTTCCTGTGGAACATGCCTGCTCATGGGTTCAGCTTAATGTGAACAGGTGTCTCTCTCAGTCATGGGGATTTCATTAAGTCTGATAGATATTCAAACATTTAACCATCCACCTCACTCTTTGGAAATACTCAGAGGAAACATACCTTTAATCTTTGAAATAACAGAAAAGTCAAAAGTTCAGAGAAGTTATTTAACAGCAGAACAAATTGACTTAGGTAAATGAAGCATCTTCAGGTGGAGATAACACATGTCATGATATCAGAAGTGAACAGTATTCAGAAGCTCAGCCACAGTGCTCCATCAACACGCTACTCTGAAACCAACAGCAGCATTCTCCGCACTTCATTATTTTCACGTCAGGAAACAGGGTTCCTCCTGAAATGTCATTAAAGCGTCGCAGCTCCAGGACTGCTTCATTTCCTCATCAAAGCAGCAGCCGCTGGAACTGGATCAGTGCCAGTCAGGATCTGTAGATACAAAAGTTGTGTCTCCAAGGACTTGTCTAACTTTGTGAATTAGTACCCCAAATCAGTTATACTACAGAGCAGTTGTGATTAAAATATGTATGTCATCGTTTGTCATTGTCTTTTAAATTTAGTAGCTGAACTGGAAGCTGCACAAAAAAAAAAGTCTTACTGATCCCCAAGATACATCAAGCAAGGAAACAGATACATGCAAATATATTATATATTATCATACTTATATGTTTTCAAATGTTTTTGATACGAAATGAAACCAAACGGGTCAGAAAGCCATCTGCTGCTGATGAATAAGAAGCCGACATGAGAGAAAACAACTATTTTGTGCACATATATTAAAGTGGAGTAATGGCGTTCTGAGCAGAGACCCAAGTCACTTTCACTCTCTTACAGCATTTGCAATTAAACAATTATCTTAGACCCAGGAACATTATGTACATGTAACATGAACAAGCAGGAACACAGCAGAAATACACCAACCACTGCCTCTGCAGTACCACCATTCAAAAGCTTTCTGATGCGGGTCTTGAAAGCAGAGAAATTATGACCTTTAGTGGCCACAGGTGCGAAAGAGCTACTGGAAGCTGAATCTCGGGGACCGGAGAAAGTGGAGCAATATTCTCGCCAAGCCAAGCAACAGCCTAGAACTACCTCAGCCTATACAAGTAACCTCGTAAGCCACTCTACTGATGCTGGACAGTTTTTCAGTGGGTGCATAATAAACAGCAACATACAAATGAATGTAAATAAATAGCCAAATAATGGATCAACGCCAGTGGCGAGCCGTCATGGCCCTCTAGGCCCTCTCTGAGGGCCTAAGATATTCTAAAAAATAATATTTAAAAACATTTAAAAAATATATATTTTTTTTAATATATATTTTTTAAATATTATTTTTGTTATATTTTTACCGAAAAAACTTGATTTATTTGTATTTAAAATCAAATTTCCAAAGAAATAAATCCTTCGAATCTGCCTGTTCAGTTTCTGTTTGAATGTGAAGGGTTACATGAAAAAAGCTCGTCTGGCCCTCTATGCGATTCACAGAGGGCCTGCTATAGTAAAACAACGAGAGAGTAATGTCAAGTGACAGTACAATTGACCAATCATATCTTCCCTCTAAATGGGAGGGCTTTATTATCGCGGACTTTATGACAAGTTCCGCCCGCTGCGCTGCCAAGTTTATGCATGTGATATATCAACGGGTCAAGCTAGGCGGAATTAGCATACGTTCATTCACGATGGCTCACGTTAGTGATAGTGATGACATCGTTGCGAAACTACTAACCAAGTCTTTTTCAAGAATGAGTTACACGGATAAATTGGAGTTAATTACCAAAGGGCGACCAACACCACAGCTTAATTTGGTTCAAAAAACCAAACGGTTCGAGAGGCATTTTAATATCGGCAATTACGCCAGATACAACTGGATGACCGGATCAACCAGGGAACAAAAGCTGTACTGCTGGGATTGCTTGCTTTTTCGAGCGGACAGTGGGTCATGGGCCAGAGATGGATATTCTGATTTAGGAAGTTTATCCAAATTAGCACATCGCCATCAGAATGCTTCAGGTCACCTCAGAGCTATACTATTCGGCTTAAAACATTTGGGGACACCAGGATAGAGCTCCAGCTGGATGAGCAACAACGCCGGGGTGTCATCCTTCATAATGAAAAGGTGAAGAGGAACCGAGGAATTTTGAAACGCCTGATAAATTGTGTGGTGTACTTGGGCAAGCAGGAGTTGCCGTTCCGAGGTCACGATGAGAGTGTAACTTCATCAAACAAGGGGAATTACATAGAGTTGCTGGATTTAGTGGCAGAATATGACAGCGACCTGCACACACACCTCGCCACATCAACAGTATTTACCGGCACATCTTCAAGGATTCAGAATGACCTGATCAGCGCTGTCGCTAGTGTAATGACGGATAGCATGAAAGAGGAGCTGAGGAAGGCACCTTTTGTTGCGGTCATGTTGGATGAAACGACAGACATTAGCAACGTGGCGCAGATGTCATATGTGCTTCGATATGTCACTGACGATGGGATAAAAGAGCGTTTCTTCAAGTACGAAGATGTGACAGAGGACAAACGAGCAGAGGCCATAGCTACACGGCTGCTGGAATTCCTGAGGGAGAGTGGCTGTATTGACAAAGTGGTCGCGCAGTGCTACGATGGAGCAGCTGTTATGGCCTCTGGATTGAATGGGGTGCAAGCGAAAGTTAAGGAAACAATTCCACAGGCCCTTTTCATTCACTGCTATGCTCACATCTTAAATCTCGTTTTGTCAAATGGAGCTTCCAAGATAAGAGAGTGTAAGGTCTTCTTCTCCCACCTCTCTGGCTTGGCCACCTTTTTCAGCCGCTCAGCAAAGCGCACCAAGCTACTGGATGATATTTGCCAGCATAGGCTTCCACGGGCAGCTCCTACTCGCTGGTGCTTTCATTCTTGCTTGGTGTGCACAGTGGCAGATAAGACCAGGGAATTGAGAGAGGTAAGATAATAATAACAATGAACGTAATGGAAATATTAACAATAATAAAGAAATGATTTAGTGTTGGAAACTACCCACTCATAAAAACATGAAGGTAAAGAACTATGCTAGTATTACATTAAATGGAAAGCTAATCTTAGTGTTTACTGGAGGTCTATAAGTTGTTTTTTCTAAACTAAGCATTACTCTCGTAGGTGTTCGAGCACATCGTAGACCATCACACAGAGTTTGATGACGAAACTGTTCATTGCTCTGATGGATACATCACCCTCCTTACCAGCTTCGATTTCAGCTTTTGGTTGAAAACCTTCCACGCTATCTTCTCCTACTCGGATGTTGTTTTTGAAATACTTCAGAACAAAGGTTTTGATATGCAGTTCTGCCTGGCCAGAGTGGATCAGCTACAGCGACAAATTGAACAGGAGAAGGGGAACTTTGACAGCGTCTACGATGAAACCCAGGCTTTGGTTGGTCCTCCGCGCGGCCGTGGAGCTCAAGGAGACGTTCGTGCACGGTACAGGGAGCTCCACTGCAGCGTAATTGACAGCCTGCTAACCCAGATTTCCAACCGCTTCAGTGACCACAAAAAGCTGGAATTCCTGGCCCTTCTGGACCCGCAACAGTTCGGGCATTACTGTAACTATTTCCCAACTGCTGCCTTGAACAGTTTGATGGAGAGCTATGGCGGATATTTCGACCAGCCTCGACTGCACACGGAACTCGCCGTGATGTACGGCATGTCTGACATTTTGGGGAAAAGCCCAGCCGACATTCATCAGTTTCTCCTCAAAAAAGGACTGAGTGAAAGCATGAAACAGGTGTACACCCTCTCATGCATCATCCTGACAATACCTGTGTCCACTGCCTCTGTGGAGAGGTCCTTCTCTGCGCTGAAGCGCATAAAAAGCTACTCGAGGTCCACGACTGGGCAAGTCCGACTGTCAGACTTGGCCTTAATTTCGATCGAGAAGGAATTGCTGATTGCTTTAAAAGCAAAGGATCACCTGCATGACGACGCCATCAAGTTCTTTATCCAAAAAGACAGGAGGATGGACTTTGTGTTTAGGTGATTTGATCATCAAAGGTAAGTCAAAGTGATTTTCAATGTGGGCCGCCGTGCCGACTTAATTCATTTGTAATTGTTACTTGGCTGTGGGTGCCCTGTCATGATAGGTGTTTATATAAATGGTGTTGTTTTGTGTGGTAGAGGGTCGCTGTCATTGATGCGTTTTGCACCCCGGGCCGCTGTTTTGATATTCCGCTGAAGTATACTATAGGCTGTGACGTAAAAACTTTTTCTTTTTTTTTTCGAGGGAAGAGGGGGGTGGGGTCAGAGGGCCTAGGTAGAAAAGTCACGGCTCGCCACTGATCAACGCTGTCTGTCTAATATGTTCGTTAGCTGTTAGTGTTGTTGCATAACAACCACCTCACACTATGTTTTGTGCAGAAGGCAACGGAGGGACTATTTTATTTTGAACATCATTATTTACGATTAAAAACTATTTAAATCGGAGTGTGTATTGCTGTGATATAATGACCATATACCACAGCCTGCCGTGAGCTATTGCTTAAATATACACTGTCCTGAAAATAAGTACATTTAGCTAAAATCATTTCAAAAAGTGTAATAACATAAATAACCTGAAAACCCCTACGAGTTTATTGTGAGTTTAAGTGCACTGCAGACTAGTGCACTGAGTGACAACCAAAGCACAGTATGCAAAACACACTGAGCAGAGCAACACGTGGCACAGCTCTCTGCAGCTGAAGCAGGTCGCAGTGATAGTGTGGCAGGTCATAGGGTTAAAGCTTTCTGCATACAATCTGAATTACATGCCAGGAAAGGTGGCTGCTGTGATCTGGCATCCCAGCTGGTCTGATTCTTCCATTACTTCCTACAAAACAGTGGTGAAGAGCACCAGGAGCAAATGCCACGAGTTGAGTCTTCACTGAAACAGCAATATGATGGGTATTGGTTTAACCTAATTACCTCCCAACAATCTTGCATTTAAAAAGATATTTCTTCCACAGTGCGGTGCAATGTTCATTCTGCATAACACACACCAGCGCTAAATAACATCCAAACAGAAAACAATGAGCGTATATGTTCTAGTCCACTGCACAATGCAGAATAAATGGGAAACACTGGAATGGATATTTGGCATTATTGTGGAACAGGGGTTCCTGGCCGATTGCCTGCTTGTAAAATTAAAGGAAAATACTGTACCCCTCCCACCTCTGGTTTATATAGTGAAATTGCTCTATGGGAAGTGGTGGTTCGTGGCTCTCAGAAGCTTCACTTGATCCTAATCCCATAAGGTGTATTTTTCTGAAATCAGATAAACACCATCTTTTAGGTTTTCTTGAGACTCTAAATATGCAGTTTACTCTTTTTCAAAAAAGCCAACTGAAGAAAAATAAACACCTCTCCTCTCGAAGTGCCTTAAAACTCTTTTGAAAGACTTTTGACTCTGAAGCACCAAAGCGTTGATGACAAGCTTGTTCCAGACATTCTGAAGAAAGGCGACATGAATATTTTGCAAGGTGAACAATGTTTTATCATCTCTTCTGGAGTCTGCTCAAGGTTTTGTCATTTGCAGCCAACGTCTCTTCAGATGTTCTCATCAGTGGCGCACCAAAGGCTGTGGGATGACAGAGGCAGCATTAAAGCAGATATTTGGGGATGAGTGGGGACGACGACTCTGAGATTGAAAGTTGCTGTGTGTCTGTTCGTCCTCCACGCCCTCAGTGAAGCAGATAATCAGCTGTAGGGATGTGAAGGCGACCGACAGCAACGTGTGAGTTACTGTTGCGTAAATATTCATATTTAGTATGAAAAAGGCATTACTGAACAAGAACAGATTGCACCAACTTAAAGTCAATGAGAAGAAGGAAATGGGGGGGCTTTAAATGGTATGTGTTGCTACTTGTTTAAAATATGAAGTGCTTTAATCATGCTTGTAGTAGGTAGTAATTATTGTTGTTATGTTGTCTTTATTTATTTTCATTATGTTCGTTATCCAATTGGTGCCATAATTAGGACGGTTTATTGTCTCATCACATGTTGTTGACCAATGTTGTTTACCATGTTTAAATGTTGTCCTTCTTCTTTGGTTTCCATTCATTTTGTAATCCATCACAGAGAGCATGTAGTCTACTTAAAGAGGCCCTATTCACCCTCTCATGTAGTGTGTTTTATAGGATTTTGGACCAATAGACCTTCAGCTGGAGGGATGCTGCTGCTCCATCTGGAGGCCAAGTGTGCCCGAGGTGACACACACACACACACACACACACACACACACCTATCGTGCAGCCGTTGTAAGAGAGAGATGCCACTTGGTGTTGTGTGTGCTCCAAGGACGCTGACTTTTTGTCACCTCACAGAAACAGTGTGACAAAGCTGTCTGCTGCTGTCTCTCTGTGTGTGTGTGTGTGTGTGTGTGTGTGTGTGTGTGTGTGTGTGTGTGTGTGTGTGTGTGTGTGTGTGTGTGTGTGTGTGTGTGTGTGTGTGTGTGTGTGTGTGTGTGTGTGTGTGTGTGTGTGTGTGTGTGTGTGTGTGTGGGTGTGTGTGTGTGTGTGTGTGTGTGTGTTATTTTACCATGATCAATTTGTTCCCACTCATCTCGACATCTTCCTCTTCACTTTGCTAGATTCTACATCTCTGAACAAATACACTGAAAAGAAAGAAGATGAATCAGGCGTTCATTTTCCAGGCTTCCATGGACGGACAGACTTCCTGTCCAGGTCAACAACCTTTGTGCCCATTGTCACCGCATTTTCCAAATTGTGTTTTTCAATGTTTGCATTTATGGTAGCCATTAAGATGCAGTTGTAGTTGGAGCTACTATAAGATCGTGATTATGTGACAAACTAAAAAGAAGCCATTAGGCTACAGATTGTTTGCTAGTTTATTATTTTTAAATCATGGTCAATTCATATTAAAAAATAATTTAAATATTCTCAGCTCTGCACAAACGTGACCATCTTTCATATTAAAAAAGGGCTATTTTCATTACTCTACTTTGTTCTATAAAGTAACTAGCTCTCAAATTCATATTTAGTGGGATGAAAACGCAGAGGTGGCGCTCTATACATTTGGCTTATTATGCCCAGTAGAAGAGGTGATATTTCTCCTTTACAGTCATGAAAGTTGGGGCAGTATAGGAAGCTGATCCTGAGTCTGTGTTGTGCTGCTTATCCCTTGCTCTCTTGGCTGGGGAGGATAGACAGCTTGGGTGTGGGGTATGTGTCAGTCGGTGGTGGGAGAATGTCTGTTTCTTCTCCCTACCGTATGGATACACAGCCTGTAAACAAGCCCTCTCCATGGTGGCTGTGCAAGTGAGGGAACACACCAACACACACTCTCTGTTGTTAGCCCTACCATGGCCCCTGGCCTCTGTTCTACCACAACAAGCCACTTCAGCTCTGCTGCTGTGGCCCTCAATGTCCACCCCTCTGCTCACTGGCTCTTTATTGGTCCGTCCTTAAATAGCCCAGTGGGCCGATGTTCAGCCTATGCTACATGATCAAAGGTTCAAAAGGCACCAGAGTGTTGTCAAAGTTACCATTAAGATTGCGATTTACCAGACAAATGGAAAATATTCCGTCAAATATGATCTGTGTTCATTATGTTTTGTGCAATCGCTGTTGTAACTAATGAATGTGTGAGAGACAATAAACAGTTAATATTCATAAAATACAGACAGTTGTATCTATTCAAACTTGTTTACACATCAATTGAATTATTGTATCGATATAATAGTAATTGCCTGATGTAAAATTATCCAGCAGAAGAACTTTGGAAATTACATCAGTTTTTCTCCCGGCACCGCCCTGGCGCCCTGCTTACTCAATAATATGCGTGTACACATCGACAATTGTGGATTTGAGCACCATTAGTACGGCAACTAATTCAAATTAGAAATATAATTTTTCCTGAGAAAAGAAAGAAATTCCCATAGTGTGGTGTGGTGTAATGCTAACTCGCTGTTTGCGCTGGTGGCATCGCTGAGAGAGACTGGTGCCAACTCATCTATTCAGATTATTTTTAGTACACTTTAAATTGTGCTAATGGCAAATTATTTATACCGACAATATAACACCAGCTCATCTCCATCAAAAACTGCAAATCCCCCACCGCTCCCCTCCCCCAAGGTGTCCCCCAAGGTTCAGTTATCGGCCCCCTCCTCTTCATTCTCTTCCTGCTTCCCCTTGGTCACTTAATCCGCCGTCATGGACTTCAATTCCACTGCTTTGGCGACGACATCCAGCTCTTCCATCTCCACCAAGTCCATCTCCAAATCCTGGCTTGAACTCAACTTCCTCAAACTCAACTGCGATAAATCTGAAATAATCATCATTGGACCAAAAAAGCTCACCACATCCATCCAAAAATTCACCCTTAACATCGACGGTTTCCCAGTTCCAACTTCCCCTCACACCCGTCTACGTCCATCCCTCTCCCCCACTGCTGCAGAAACTCCACTCCACGCCTTCATCTCCTCCCGTCTGGACTATTGCAACAGCCTCCTCTATGGTTCACCTTCAAAAATCATCAATAAACTCCAATACATCCAGAACTCCGCCGCCCGTCTACTCACCCACACCCGAATCCGTGACCACATCACCCCGTCCTCATCAAGCTCCACTGGCTCCCCATCCCCCAGATAATTCAGTACAAGATCCTCCTCCTGACATACAAAGCCCTCCATAACCTGGCCCCATTCTACCTGACCGACCTGCTCCACAGACACACTCCCACCCGCTCCCTCCGCTCTGGTGCTGCCAACCTCCTGTCCCCCCCCCCCATCCGGACCAACCTCCTGCCCCCCCCCCCCCCCCCCCCCCCATCCGGACCAATTTCCTGTCCCCCCCATCCGGACCAACATCAGGTCCTAGGGCGACAGAGCCTTCTCCGTTGCAGCTCCCACCCTATGGAACTCACTACCCCAACCCATCAGAGACTCTTCCTCCCTCACCGCATTCAAAACCTCACTCAAAACCCACCTGTTCAACACTGCATTCAACCACTGACTTTTGTGTTATTCTCTGTCAAAGCGTCTGAGTTTTTAGAAAAGCGCTATATAAATGTCATGTATTATTATTATTATTAATAATATGACCGGAGACATTTGAATTGGCCGGACTCATTCCGATGTTTCAGTCAAAGTCCTGTTACTACTCACCAAGTGGCTGCTGCGTCTTGTGCCCCTCTCTATCTTCATGTGAGGCCTGGAATATTGTTACTACAATTAGACAGCCAGAAAACATGCCTTCCAAAGTTGTATGAGTCAACAAATAACCTTCAAACTTTTGATGTGAAAAGGCAGAACACCTTCCATTAATGTTAAACAGTTATGTCCTAGATCTTGAATAACCCATTACATAACCAATTCAACAAATATGTCCAAGGTTATTTCCTATGGTGTTTGATGAAGTTTAGATATTGTTAAAGTCCAGTTCAGTGTGTTCCATTCATTGCTGACTACCTTTACAGCCATTTACTTACCATATTTTTTCTTTCTGATTTTGTCAGACCTGTATGAGCAAATGGTGTTGTTTTCCTTGATTGGCTGGCAGCTTCTGACACATTCTTTGGTCAGAGATATGGAGTGTGAACTTCGTACATTGCTGGGAAATGGTTAATCTCTTCACTCACAGGAAGAACTTCAGTCTGTAATGCAAACAAACCTGCCGCTCACAATCAACCTTTATATGCTCCTTTTTTTGTTGTATGTACACTTTCTAGAAACTTAATTGCACACAAGATTAGGTTTAGTCATTATGTTACGTGGCAAAGATTTGTTCCAGAATATGTCTTTACTTTAGTGAAAGGAGAAAAAAATAGTAGCAGGAATGTAGTTTGGGTGTAACGTGAAATAGAATTTCAAGGACCTTGACACACAAGGTTCACGTCTTCCTGCACGCAGTGATGTGGTTTCAGTTAATAAAGAAAACTTATTTTTCAGTGTTTAACCCAGACCATGACCGTTCTCTTGCTTTCACCAAGTGCTTTATTTTGACTCAACATAACCATAAATGACATTAAAAAAAGTGTTTCACTGTTAGAAGCGATACTTTTCTATATTTTTAACTTAAAATAAGTAAGTAAAATAATACAATTCTGTGAGCATACTTTTTTATTTAACAAATATTTGATGAGGCAAATCAGGTAAATATATATCAAATTTTCTAGCACATATTGGCTCTATAATTTCAATGTGGTTGCACGGAGAAACTTTTGGATGATTACATTTTTTATTTTTAGGAATATAAATACTGACTATTATGGTCTAGGTTGGCAGACTGAGCCATTCTTTTTCTGTATTGTTTACATGTTATGTTACATGTTTCGCTTCTGTCTTTCAATATCTTGGAATGTTGTGTCAAATATATGTTATTCATTAATTATCTGTCGCTCCGTTTGTGTTCTGATAAGGTAAACTATTTTATTTGTGTATGGGAGAAGGTTCCTATGTTCGGCAGTTATAGACTGGGCTTTCTTGTACAAGAGAATAAACAAATATATATATTATCCTTAAATTATGTCATACAATGCACCTAATAAACAAGTATGGCATTTTGAAACATGATGTGCAACCATTTTTACTGTATTTTGTGTGCATTTTGTTGTTAACTAAGATGATATGATTTATTTTTGTTAGTATGCACGTGGACGCTTTGGACATACCTGGAGAAGGAATAAATGGGTCTTCGGAATGATGGGAGTTAAAGACAAAAGGCGGAGACTAGTGTTGAAACTAGTGGAGAGACGATCAAGATGCCACCTTGTCCCTCTGATTAGACGGCATGTCAAGTCAGGAAACAGCATTATTAGTGATGAGTGGAGGGCATACAGGAGAGTGCTGAGTAACGTGGGGTACAACCACTACACCATAAACCACAGCAGGTGGTGTGTGAACCCCCAGACGGCAGTCATATCCAACATAATGAAAGAGCTTGGTCGACCGTCAAAGGACATGTCCGTAGACTGAGAGTGTCAGGATTCTCATGTTATGTCACGGTTGTAGTTTTGTATGTCTGGTTATGGGTGTTTTCCTCTTGGTATATTGTCTGGTCCTTTTCCCTGTGTTTTTCCTCCTGTCGTTAGTTTCCCTGATGTGTCTAGTTGTCTGATTGTGTTCACCTGTGGCCCTTGTGTTTCTCCTCCCCTGCCCGGCTGTTTCTCGTCTTGTGATTACCCCTCCGTGTATTTAGTCTTGTCTCTTCCTGTGTTCAGTGTTGGTTCGTCTTTTGTTTGTGACTGAGTTCACCGGTGAGTGTTCTGTTTTTTCCAAGTTATTATTTTATCCTTGAAATAAAGGCAATATCAGTGTAATCTGCATTTGGGTCCTGCTTGCTTCACCCACCGTAACAGTACGAACCAACCAAGGATGGGCCCAGCAGATCCTTTTGAGCTGGAATTACTCAGTTTTTCCTTTTCTTTGGCTGGCTGCTCTGATAAGTGGAGGGGAGCGTCCTCTCGGTGTGTGATTCCCGGCCTGCTAGCCCCAGGCATGCTAGCTCCCTGCCTCCCAATTCCCAACCTGACACCATACGCCTCGGTGTGTTCCGTCTGGAGTCAACCTCTGCTTCTTCCCCAGTTCCTGCTCCTGTCCAGGAGCCGTTCTCTGGAACTCGTCTGGCTTTTGGAGGTCCACGGAGCCTCCAAAAGGCTCCTAAGAGAAGGAGTCGCAGGTCCAGGCTAGCAGTCCTAGCCCCAGAAGCCATGGTTCCAGCCCCAGTTCTGGCCCCAGCAGCCATGGTTCCAGCCCCAGCAGCCATGGTTCCAGCCCCAGCAGCCATGGTTCCGGCCCCAGCAGCCATGGTTCCAGCCTCAGTCCTGGCCCCAGCAGCCATGGTTTTGACTCCAGCCCCTCGTCTCCGGCCGACGCCAGCTCCCCGTGTCCTGTCGGCGTACCGGCCGACGCCAGCTCCCCGTGTCCTGTCGGCATTCCGGCCGACTCCAGCCCCCCCCGTGTTCTGTTGGCGAACCGACCGTCTCAATTCTCCTCTCAAGTCCCCTCTCAAGCCACATCTCCAGCTCCCTCTCGAGTCCCCTCTCAAGTTCCCTCTCGAGTCTCCTTTCAAGTCACCTCTCGAGTCTCCTTTCAAGTCACCTCTCAAGTCTCCTCTCGAGTTCCCTCTCAAGCCTCCTTTCGAGTCACCTCTCAAGTCCACTCTCAAGTTACCTCTCGAGTCCCCTCTCAAGTCCCCTCTCAAGCCTCCTTTCAAGTCACTTCTCGAGTTCCCTCTCAAGTCACCTCTCGAGTTCCCTCTCAAGTCTCCTCTCGAGTGTCCTCTCGAGTCCCCTCTCGATTCCCTACTCGAGTGCCGCTGAAGGTTCCGCTGGGGGTCCTGCCAACTCCATGTCCTGTCCCGTTGGGGGTCCCGCCGACTACTCTTCTGCCGGGGGTCCGGCCATCCCTATGTCCTGTCCCGTTGGGGGTCCCGCCGACTGCTCTTCTGCTGGGGGTCCTGCCCAACCCTATGTCCTGTGCCGTTGGAGGTTCCGCTGGGGGTCCTGCAACTCTATGTCCTGTCCCGTTGGGGGTCCCGACGACTACTCTTCTGCCGGAGGTCCTGCCAACCCTATGTCCTGTGCCGTTGGAGGTCCTGCCGACTACTCTCCTGCCGGGGGTCCTGCCAACCCTGTGTCCTGCCAACCCTGTGTCCTGTCCCGTTGGGGGTCCCGCCGACGACTCTTCTCCCGGGGGTCCTGCCAACCCTATGTCCTGTGCCGTTGGAGGTTCCACTGGGGTTCCTTCCAGCTCCATGTCCTGTCCCGTTGGGGGTCCCGCCGACTACTCTTCTGCCGGGGGTCCTGCCAACCCTATGTCCTGTTCCGTTGGAGGACCCGCTGAGAGTCCTGCCAATTCCATGTCTTGTTCCGTTGGAGGTCTCGCCGGGGGTCCTGCCAACTCCTGGTCCTCTTCCGTGGGGGATCCTGCCGAAGCCTGTCCGGCCGACACCGGGTCCTGCCCGGCCTCCGGAGCTGTCCCGTCAGCGCCTTCCTGCCCGGCCTCCGGAGCTGTCTGGTCTTCGTCCTCGAGCCCGGCCCCCTGAGAGCCGCGGTCTTCGCCCTTGAGCCCGGCCCCCTGACTTTCCCGGCCGCGGTCCTCACCCTCGGGCCCGGCCCCCTGACTCTTCCTGCCGCTGCCTTCACCCTCATGCTCGGCCCCCTGAGTTCGCCCGCTGTGGCCTTTGCCCCTCCATGGTCTCTGCCTTGCCCCCGGACCGTCCGCCCGAGACCCCCACCATGGACTCTGCCTTGCCCCCAGGCCGTCCGCCCGAGTTCCCCACCTTGGACTCTGCCTTGCCCCCGGGCCGTCCGCCCGAGATCCCTTCCGGGTCCTCCGCTGTGTTCCTGGGCAGCCCAAAACCCGTCCTCCAGACCCCCTCCACCCACCCTGGTGGCCCTAGTTTTCCTAATTTTCTTCATGTGTGAATAAAATGTTTTGCTTGGTTCTGTTGCATCTTACTTTCATGTGAAAAATCAGTTTTTTAGGTCAGCGTGAATGTTATAACTCATTCATAAATGGACGTGTATTAAACTTAAAAACAACGCACCCTTTCAGTAGTTATAAATGTTAGTGACTCATCAATAGATGGTGATGTGTTTCACACTTTACAATAAGGCTCCCTTTTACCAATTATAAATGGTAGTAACTCATTAATAAATGGGAATGTGTTTTACACTTTACAACAAGGCTCCCTTTTGGCAGTTATAAATGTTAGTAACTCATTCATAAATGGTTTTAAAAATAAAATGTATTATTATTATTCATAAATGGTCATAAGAGATGCCAAGAAACTGGCTGATGAAGAAGACAAAGTAAGTTAAGTATAGCTAATATAAGGCTGAGCAGTACAGATAAATGTGGGCTCACTATTTGGCAAGCAACCGGTCACAGTTGCCCTGTTTATGTCGTGATTTATAAAGTGTTCACAACCTAATTAATAAATTAATTACAAACTATTCGTAAACCCTAGGGTAGTCTCATTGTAAAGTGGTACCGTATTTTGTTAAATGAATATAAATGGTACATTTGAGTTAAAGTTATGTTGTTTTCTGTGTTAAGAAGTATTTTCAGATGATCGCCAATAGGTGTCAGTATTGCTACATGAACAGTGCATTTTCTATGAAAACGTGACATGAGCAAAAACACACGAGCCAATTTGCCGCTCGGTGAATGTGGAAGTCAATGTGACTTTCTGCCTTGTTCAGAAAACCTTTAAAATGAAATGTGTAGCACGGAGTCTGTTAATCATTCTGTGCACGCTACACCATCACTGCCATTTAAAGGTGGGGTAGTAATTCACTTCAGAATTTTTTTTTGTTATATTCCATGGAATGCTCTTAACATCCCGATAGCAATGAATATATTAAATGCTTTGACAATAAATACATAAAAAAATGTCATCGGTGGAAGCCGTGGCGCTGTAAAAAGCTAGACCAATTATTTTAGCTGGGCGGCTTGATTGAAGAGGATGTGCCAAAATGAAAATATAACTACTCAACTATTTATATGTGTAATGAAACGTTTGGAGCTAGGACTTGGAACACAAAGAGAACACTGACGACCTCGAACTGATGTCAGACAGATCTCTCACCGAGTCCCATTTAGCTAGTTCTAAGAGAATAATCAACATTCTGCATGACCAGACTTAACAAGCAAAGCACTATAATTGTGTCCTACTATAGACTATCAGATGTCCCTAGAGCCAGCTAAACATCCTGTATCAAGTTATGCCAACAGGCAAGAATAAAGGGACAATAAAGAGTTAGAAGCACCCCGAGATCGCATGCCTGAGCTCTGCAAGGACAGTGGAAACCGATAAACTGGGTCAAAGGTCTGAGCCTAGCTAAATATTTCCTCAACAATATGAAGGCAAGTTTGGATGTCAGATATTCCGATGTCAGTATTTGCTTGGTGATTCTTCTACATCTCCACTGAGGCTTTGGTGTGACCCGGTGCCATGGGTCACACCCTCCCCCCCTATAGTTGTCCTGCTCCACTCCTCTGTTTCACATTAGCATTGTCTCCTGGCTCTCGTCCTTCAGCTCTGTTGGCTCAGATGTGGGCACAGCGATGGCCTTGGTAATGAACCCTCCCTGGCTCCTAACCTCTCCCATATTAGCCGGGCAAACACAGGCAGTCTTTTGGCTGTCACCCTGCGTACTCTACTAACAAGCTGCAGAGATGCCCCCCCTTGGCTGCCAGCCACAGATAACTGGACCCACATGTCTACAGCGGACACTGCAATATGTTTATCCAATGTATGAGGACTGCATTTTCTGTTCTCTGCTAGCGGCCACACATGTTTATGCATTGGCTCTTCCTCCATGCTTGTGTGTAACAGAAAGCTTGACATGCCACACCCCACCTCTTGTTGCCCCCATCATGCTGTCTTTAACCCCGCTCGGCTCTCTGTCCTCGTCTGTGTTTCCTGTCCTCCGGCCAGCACTGAGGCCCAATCCCAAACCACGCCCTACACCCTACCCCGACTGTTGCAAAAACTAAGAAGCTTATACACATCAGGTTTAAAACTAAAAGAGCTTTACAAAAAGGTAACACATTAAAGATGTTTGGAGTTATTAATTTAATTTGTTGTCTAAGAGATGCTGATTTGAAACCCTTATTACATACAGTTACGGCATTTCCTGTTTCTGCCGGAGAGAGGGGAGTTTGTCCCAAAGCTCACCGCTGTATTTATACCCTCCATCTGACAGGAGGGAGCCTCGTTGAGCTGCGAGTGTCGCTCCACGGAGTTCACTCCGTCACGGAGGGGTAGTGTGTAGGGGTAGGGTGTAGGGCGTGGTTTGGGATTGGGCCTGAGTGTAATATTTCCGCTGTTACAAGCCCCTGTTGCCCCAGCCACCTAAAACCCTGTCCTCACTCTATCTCTTCATTGCACCTCCTCGCCCCCAGATGCATTCTGGTCATTTTCTGTGTGGTTTGTTTTGGCAGCAGCTCAGTGAGCCGTCACAGCCATTTAATCGCTGGGTGCTCGTTGTTGTTTTTTCTATTGCCTGAGTCATCCCAGACTCAGACTCCTGCTCCTGCTCCTGCTGAGGCTGTAGAAGGGATGCAGAGGGCTCTGATCATTCACATGCTGGAGTATACATATAAGAATACACTGGTGCCAGTTAAAGTCAAAAGGAACTGAAAGGGTCGAACATTACATTGTGAATATTCAATGTCTATAGCGACTCAGACACATACTACTGTATACATGGAAGTACACAGATATATGTGATTAATTGCCCACATTGTTCAATACAGTTTTTCCTAAAGTGAGCACCAAAGCACCAGTAAAGGTAAATGAAAGAAACAACAGTCACATCAAGGCTTCCAACAGTGAAACATGACTAACGTCACTTATTAGAAATG